TTAATGAGGCAGGATTAGAGGCAGTTATGTTAATGAGGCAGGACTCAATCTACAAGATTAGGTTTTATCTTGAGTCAGTCTCTTTTGAGATATAAAAGTGAGAAACAGCAGAGAGACAGAGGGACCTCATGCCACCAAGAATGAAGAACCAGGAAGGGAGTGCATGCTTTAGACCTGCGGTCCCCTGTGCTGAGAAGCATCTAGACCAGGGAAAGATAGATGACAAGGTCTTCCCCTAGAGCCGACAGAGAGAGAGCCTTCCCCTGGAGCTGGCGTCCTGAATTTGGACTTCTAGCCTCCTAGACTGTGAGAGAATAAATTCTCTTTGTTAAAGCCATCCACTTGTATTTGTGTTGTAGCAGCACTAGATGACTAAGACAGAGGAACAGATAATTTCAGAGAGAGATTAAAAAATGCCCCTTAAGCATATGGAAAGATGTTAATTTTTTTCCATAAAATTAGAGGAAGTCACAGTGATACTACACTGAGTTACCATTTCTCACCTATCAGATAGGTAAAAATGCAAAAGCTTGACACTACACTGTGTTGATAAAGCTATGGCAAAACAGGCACTCATATATTGCTGGAGGGAATGCAAAATGGTAATATGTAACAAATATTAGGTATTTGGCGTGATCAAAATTAGCATCAGTATGCTTTCTGCTTTTGGTGAGGCTGAGTAAGCTGAGTAAGCTCCTGTCAGACTAGCCTTCTTGCAGATAGCAACTATAAACTCTGGATAAAATTTTAGAAACCACTACCTAAGCGCACTGGAGAGTTAGCAAAGGCAGACAGGTTCTGGAGGGGAGTTGACACTTGGAATAAGGGAATAATGGTACAGGGTGAGTTTCCCATTTCTACTACTTTTAGCAGTCAGTGACCTGTCAAGCATCTAAAACTCTTATAGAAAACTTATAGTCTTTCTGGCCTAAAAAACCAGAGGTCAGAGTTCAGGACAGCTGTAGCCACTGAAAAGTGAGAGAATAATCCTAGAAAAGAGAGAGCCAGAGAAAGGCAGCCCCAAATTCTGTGCATAAATCTCCCCAAGTCTCTGGCTGAACCATGATTGTACAGGCTGACTCTAGGCTGCTTTGCAAAGATAAAAGAACTGAACTGAGATTTGAGCAGCTGCCCAAAAGACAGAGTTTGCAGTTTGAGCCAAACCAAGTTACTTAAGACAAACAAACAAAAATCAACACTCTTTGGAGGAACAGAATAGAACCCAGAGTATCCACAACATAACATTCACAATGTCCAGGATATAATTAAAATTAACACCATCAGTGAGTTGAAGATGTACATCGTATGCCTCTTGATGTGATACCCTGAGAAGCATCTCCTATGTGGTATTCTGGATGAGAATGCGTAATCTAAGAAAACATTAGACAAACCCAAGAGGAAGGATCATTCTATTGAAAGACAAAAAGGATGGAGGGAGGGAAATGTATTCTTCAAAAAATGTCAGCGTCATAAAAGACAAAGGCTGAGGAAATATTCCATATTAAAGGATTTCATTTTACTTGGATGCATAATCAACACCCATGGAAGCAGCAGTCAAGAAATCAAAAGATGCTTCACATTGGGCATATCTGCTGCAAAAGACCTCTTTAAAGTGTTCAAAAGCAAAGATGTCACCTTGAAGACTAAGGTATGCCTGACCAAGCCGTGATGTTTTCAGTCTCCTTATATGCATGCGAAAGCTGGACAGTGAATAAGGAAGATCAAAGAAGAGTTCACACCTTTGACTTGCGTTGTTGGCGAAGATTATTGAATATACCATGGACTGCCAAAAGAATGAACAAATCTGTCTTTGAAGAAATACATCCAGAATGCTCCTTAGAAGCAAGGATGGTGAGACTACGTTTCACATACTTGGACGTGTTATCAGGAGGAATCAGTCCCTGGAGAAGGACATCATACTTGGTAGAGGATCAGCGAAAAAGAGGAAGACCCTCAATGAGATGGATTGACATAGTGGCTGCAACAATGGGCTCAAGCACAACAATGATTGTGAGCATGGCGCAGGACCGGGCAGTGTTTCATTCTTTCATTCTGTTGTACTTAGGGTTGCTATGAGTTGGAACCAGCTCGACGGCACCTGACAACAGCAACAACAACAGAGGAGGTTAAAGAGAGACAAGTGAGTACAATATGTGATCCTAGACTGGATAGTGTCCTCTTGTTTTTGTTAGGTGCTATTGAGTCAATTTCAACTCATAGCGACCCCATGTAACAGAGTAGAACTTCCTCATAGGGTTTACTAGGCTATAATCCTTAGGGGAGCAGATTGCCAGATCTTTCTCCCACAGAACTGTTGGATGGGTTCGAACCACCAACCTTTAGGTTAGCAGCCAAGCACTTAACCACTGCGTCACCAGGACTCCTTGGGTCCTGTCCTGAAGAGGGGAAATGCTCTGAAGGGCATTCTTAGGCAATTGATAAAATTAGAACATACAAGATAGATTAGGAAAAAGGTATCAGTGTTAAATTTACTGAATTGATAATTGTACAATGGCTATGTAAGAGAATATTCTTTTTCTTAAGAAATGCACACTGCATTGTCTAGGAAAAAAGGATTGTGATATATGCAGCTTACTCTCAAATGGTTCAGAAAAAAATTGTGTATGTGTAGAAAGCATGAGCACAGATGATGAAGCAAATGGGGCAATGTGTTAGGCAGTAAGTGAATCTAAAAAAGGGGCATATGGATTTGTTTTTAACTATTTTTGTAACTTTTCTGAAGGTTTCAAATTTTTCCAAATAAAAGATTAAAAAACTAACATGAGGTTAAACTTAAAATAAAACAAAAAATATCCTTGGTCTAGAGAGGTTTTAAATCTCATTTCATTTCATTTTTTTGTTTTTCAGACTTTTTCTTTCAATAACAATGCCATGTCTTGGAAAACTTATTTAGAAATAAATTGTTTTATTCATGTTCTATATTCCAAAACACAAAAGAGAAAGACCCTCTGTTGGATGGTACCTGACTCCAGCTGCCTTACAGAATTGCCCACAGTGGCCTTTGACATTTTTCTTGCAATTCTTGTCAGTTTCAACTTACAGTGCGTTTATAGACCCATTAGTGACCTATAACCCTATACAAAGAATTAAATGCAGCATATGTTCCTTTAGTCTTGCTCCTATTTCATCTCTGAGGTAACTGCTGGCTTTCATGTGTCTGATGACCTAGTTTTACCTATTCTTTGTAGGGTTTTAGGTATATTAAATATCAGAAAAAGTTAACTCATTTGTTAAATTTATGCTACTTAAAATGGAGCCTTTCTGATAGATTTGTGAAGACTGTGTTTTAATTTTAAAGCCTCTAATTTTTACTTTGGAGTGCTACCAGTCCCTGGAGAAGGACATCATGCTTGGTAAAGTAGAGGGTCAGCAAAAGAGAGGAAGACCCTCAACAAGGTGGATGGACACAGTGGCTGCAGCAGTGGGCTCAAGCACAGCAACAATTGTGAGGATGGTGCAGGACCAGGCAATGTTGTACACAGGGTTGCTATGAGTTGGAACCGACTCAACGGCACCTAACAACAACAACTTATAAGTAGACCACAAGACTGTATAAAGAGAAGCCAAAACAAGCTTGTCGTACAGTGTAGTATGATTGTTCTTCCCAGCCTGGGATGATACTGAAATATTTGTTGTCTTAGAGCAATTTGGGTCTTTAGTTTCCTTTCTTTACAATGTTTTAGTAAGAAGATAAAATCAATTACATAAAAAGATAACATGTTACTTTACTTTTTCCACTGTAACCACTTCCTTCTGTGTGCGAGGCTTCTTAAGACTAAAGCCTCTGGAATTTCTTTTATTAATGCCCATCTGTCATCTCACCTGGCATTTTAATGTCCATATCTGTTAACTTTATATCTTTCGGATATTATTTACTTCCTTGTGTGTTTCCTATAATAGCAGCAACATCTTCATATATACAGATAAATGCTAACTTTTTTTGCTCCCCAACAAGGGTTTATTGAGCAATTCTTGAGTGCTCAGTGCTATACTATGTTTTGTAAGACATGTAAAAAAGAAATAGATTTATAGTAGCCGAAAGGTGGAAACAACCCAGTTGTCCATCAATAGATGACTGTATAAACAAAATGTAGTATATCCACACAATGGGATATTATTCAACCATAAAGAGAAGTGAAGTTCTGATACATGCTACCACATGGATGAACCTTGAAAACGTTATGCTGAGTGAAATAAGTCAGGTACAAAAGGACAAATATTGTATGATCCTGCTTATATGAAATACCCAGAATAGGCAAATGCATAGAGACCAAAGTTTATTAGTGGTTAGCAGGAATAGGTGAGGGAGGGAAATGGGAAGGTATTGCTTAAGGGGTGCAGAGTTTTTTGTTAAAGTTGATGAAAAAAAATGGAAATGGATAGTGGTTATGGTTGCACAACATGATGAAGGTAATTAATATCACTGAATTGTACACGTAAAAATGGTTGAAATGACAAGTGTTGGTATATATATTTTACCATGATAAAAATTTAAAAAAAGAAAGTAGAAAATTTAATTCTTTATACTTTATAGTCAATCTGAAGATATAAGACACATTTAAGTGCAAGCAGTTTTATATATCTAAGGTAGTGATATAAAGGAAGCTTTAAAGTAGCATATAGAGCCCTAGTGACACAGTGGTTAAAGCGCTTGGCTGCTAACTGAAGGGTTGGTGGATTGGATCCACCAGCTGCTCCATGGGAGAAAAATGTAGCAGTCTGCTTCTGTAAAGATTTATGGTCTTGGAAACCCTACGGGACAGTTCTGCTCTGTCCTATAGGGTTGCTATGAGTCAGGATCAACTCAACAGCAACAGGTTATAGAGACTGCATATAAAACTCTAGGTTTCTAGGCAAGGGGAGAGTTGTTTCGAGTTGTAATTAGTCTTTGATTCCTTCTTAAGGGAGGTGGTCCTAGAATTAGACTTTGAACAGTGTCTGGGTTTTGGATTGACAAGCTGAGAAGTTTAGTACCGGCCAAGAACTAAGGGTGAGGAGATTTGGAAAAAGAATGAGAATGTTTTGTTAGAGTGTGTTAAAGAATCTGGCTTAACTGGACTGGATAGTGAGAAATAAGATGGAACCAGTTGATAAAGGACTTAACAGCCTACCTAGGAGAGCAGTTTGGACTAAATTGGGAAAGCAGCAGATTTCTTAACTAGTTAACTGACATGTCAGAAGGATGGTATTTCAGAAAGATGAGTCTGACTAGGATGTGTAAGATGAATTAGATTAGAGAGAAATAAGAGTAAGGGAAAACCAGGTTGGAGACTATATTGCTAATTTAGGTTTGAGTTGGCAAAAACTTAGATTAGGATTGTGATGATAAATGGAGAAAGGCAAATGTGACAGACATTTTGATGTTACAATGAAAAGAAAGTAGCAAGAGGTTGGGAAGGAGGAGGAGGTGGACAATGACAATTAGATTTGTCTGGTAAGAAGTGATTGGAGGCCATAGAGCACTTTCCAGGGAGTGGTAGAGGGTTAAGGAGTGTGAGGAAGCTGAGGCAGTGGGGGTTACACATTCCAGGAATTTGTCTGTTAAAAGAAGGCTAGATCATAACTTTGGTGAAGGATAAGACAGTACACAATACTGTGGAAGCCAGCACAACTTGTCCAAGGCAAGGTCACAGAAGCTCCATAGACACATCCAAACTTCTTGAGGGACCAAATTACTGGGCGGAGGCTGTGGGGAACATGGTCTCAGGGAACATCTAGCTCAATTGGCATAACATAGTTTATAAAGAAAATGTTCTACATTCTACTTTGGTGAGTAGCGTCTAGGGCCTTAAAAGCTTGTGAGTGGCTATCTAAGATGCTCCACTGGTCTCACCCCGTCAGGAGCAAGGGAGAATGAAGAAAATCAAAGGAACAAGGGAAAGATTAGTCCAAAGGACTAATGGGCCGCAACTACCACAGCCTCCACCAGACTGAGTCCGGCACAACTAGATGGTGCCCGGCTACCACCACTGACTTCTCTGACAGGGATCACAATACAGGGTCCTGAACAGAACTGGAAAAAAATGTAGAACAAAATTCTAACTTACAAAAAAAAGACCAGACTTACTTGCCTCACAGAGACTGGAGAAACCCGAAGTATGGCCCCTGGACGCCCTTGTAACTCAGTAATGAAGTCACTCCCGAGGTTCATCCTTCATCCAAAGATTAGATAGGCTAATAGAACAAAACGAGACTAAAGGAGCGCATCAGCCCAGGGACAAGGACTAGAAGGTGGAAGGAGACAGGAAAGCTGGTAATAGGGAACCCAAGGGCAAGAAAGCAGAGTGTTGACATGTTGTAGGGTTGGTAACCAATGTCACAAAACAATATGTGTACTAATTGTTCAACCAGAAGCTAGTTTGTTCTGTAAACCTTCATCTAAAGTACAATAATACTAAAAAGAAGGAGGCTGGGTCAAACGAAGAGTTCCCTCCTACCCTTCTCTTCAGGACAGGGGCAACTTCTAGGTGTTTGAAACAGAAAGAAAAGAGACAGCAGTGAGGAAAATAATGTACTACTTTAAGGGCTTTCAAATAATTTTTCACCTCCAGGCCAATATTCTAACAGTTTCCATCTCACGTTGCTTAATGTCTGTCTTTCTCATTTTTACTTAAGATCCAGAAACAGCAAGATCCAGCAATTCCAAAATCACCACAACTCTGGGACTGGTCGTCCATGCCGCAGGTAGGGTTGGTGCATTGGAACCCGTTTCTTTTCTCTCACACAGTGGGAGGCATATTGTTTATATTACAGGGTCTGTCCATGTCAGTGCTCTCGGGCTAGACATAGTGCGAGGGAAGGACGGTTGCTTAACCAGATGAAGTATTCCAGCACAAGCACAGGCATACTTAGTGTCATGCCCTAAAAAAGGGGCTTGGAAGGTAACAGTGGTTTTTATATTTTTAAATGGTTGGGGATAAAACAAAAAAGAATCTATCGTGACTCATGAAAATTATATGAAATTTAAATTTCCATGTCCAAGAGTAAAGTTTTTTTGGAACACAGCCATGCCCATTCATTTATGTATTGTTTGTGGCTGCTTTTACACTACAGCAGCAGAGTTGAGTAGTTGCTAGAAACCATATGGCCCATAAAGCTTAAAATATTTCCTACCTGTTCCTTTAAGAAAACATTCCCTGATCCCTGCCCTAGAATCCCATCTGGAAAAGAGCCTTGGCACTTTTGTACTGAACAGCGCTGCTGCTCAGTATATACCCAAAGTACCAATTTAGGCAGAGGTAGTCTAGAATGCAGAAGTCTTAGTATTGCTGACTGCGGATGCCTTAGAACCATAACCCTATATTTGCCCCTGCAGTAGGATTCTGTCAGTGACAGAGTACCCCAGTGAAGCTCGCTGGCACGTGAAAAGTGGCACACTATTATCTGGACCTTTCTAGTATAAAGATGCTTTTTTATTTTTATTTTTTTGATGAAAACATATACAACAAAACATACACTCATTCAACAGTTTTTACTTTTGCAGTTCAGTGACAAAGGTTACATACTTCACATTGTGTCACTATCTGTACCCATATTGTCTCATTACCATTAACTTAGACTCTCTGCTCCTTGAAGTTCTCATTTGTGTTTTAGGGTTACTGTTGTCAGTTGGAGCTCATATAGATAATACTTTTAAAAAGTGTACTACTCAAGGCAAACATTGTTTATTAATAGAATAATTTAGTTTAAAATGTTTGATTTAAAAGTTACTTCACGGGATAGTTTCGGTTCCAGGTTTAAAAATTATTTCCAGACAATAGATGTAGGGGTTCACCCGGTCTCAGTGGATCCCATAAGCTTCGTTTCCATGAGAATTTTAAGTTCTGTTCCACATTTTTCCTCCTTTTGATGAGTATCCATCTATTGGGTCCTTGATAAAAATGTTTAATAATGGTAGCTGGGCACCATTCATTTCTTCTGGTCTCGTGGTGAAGGAGATACTTCATGGATGCAATTAGACCTGCAGTCCATTACCTGCTCTGATTCCTCGGTCTCCTCCTTCCTCTGTTGCTCCAGGTGAACAGAGACCATTTATTGTATATTGAGTGGCTGGTAGCAAGGTTTTAAGACCCCAGGCACTACTCACTGAACTAGGAGGTAGAACAGAGACTCTAAAGACAACATTAAGCCACTTAACTGCATAGACCCACAAAACCATGACCCTAAACCCTTGAACCAAGAAAACTAATCCCATGAGGAGTTTAGTTGTACCTAGGCATTATCAACCGCTGCTGCCTTTTTTTAATTATAAAATTATATGTAACACTATATTTGCCAATTCACCCTTTTCTTTCTTCTGGTATACAGCTTAGTGATATAAGTTAACAGTAGTTAAGTTATGTAACCATTACCTTTAGTTGATGTCAATTTTCCCATCACCATAGACAAAAGTTCACTACTTCTCAAAGAATGATTGCTCTTCTCCTTATCTGTTTCCACCCCTGCTAACCACTAGTAACCATTCGTTTCTATATATTTACCTATTCTTGTCATTTCATGTAAGTGAGATTATACATATTTGTCCTTTTATGATTGACTTATTTCGCTCAGCATAATGTTGTGACAGGTATCAGGACTTCATTTTTCTTTAAGGCTGGGTAGTATTCCATTGTATATATGTACCATATGTTGTTGATCCATTCGTCTGTTGATGAGCACCTAGGTTGTTTCTACCTTTTTGCTATTGTGAATAGTGCTGCAGTGAACATCAGAGTACATATGTCCATTTGTGTCACTGCTTTTAGGTCTCTAAGGTATATACTTAGGAATGGAATTGCTGGGTCATATGGTAGCTCTATTTCTAATTTTTTGAGGAATTCCCATACTGTTTTCCATAATGGTTGTACCGTTTTACATTCCCACCAGTAGTGGGTAAGAGTTCAGTCTCCCCACATCCACACCAACATTTGTTCTTTTCTATTTTCTTGATCATTGCTGTTCTGGTACGGGTGAAGTGTATCTCATTGTAGTTTTGATTTGCATCTCTCTAATGGTTAACGATGATGAGCATCTTTTCATATGCTTGTGGCCACTTGAATACCTCTTTGTTAAAGTGTTCATGCCCTTTGCCCATTTTTGATTGGGTTATTTGTCTTTTTGTTTAACAGATGCTTTTCTAACATAAAATTGATCCATTCAACCAGGATTTATTATGTATAAATCATCTGCTCCAACTCCTAGTGTCTTTATTTTATTTCTTCATCTGTAACATGTATAGATTTTTTAAAAATTCTTCTTTGATATTTCTGTTATTGCAATTTAATTAACTAATCAGTGGATTTTTGAGCACCATACTTTTTTCACTAACAAAGGCAATAATAGCTAGCCTATATATTGAATAGCCCAAGCCAGGTGCTAAGCTCTTTATGTACGTTATCTCATTTAATCCTCATGAAAACCCTAAGAAATGCATACTTTATTGAACCCATTTTAGAGAACAGAAAACTGAGGTTCTAAAAGGTTAAATAACCTTCCCAGAGACAAATCCAGCCCTACCTGATTCTGAAGCCCATACACTCAACCACTACACTGTTGTTATTATTGTTGTTGTTTATGGTATTTTATGTTTCACTTTTTCCAAATTTAGCTGATGGTGTTGCTTTGGGAGCAGCGGCATCTACTTCACAGACCAGTGTCCAGTTAATTGTGTTTGTGGCAATAATGCTGCATAAGGTGAGCAAAATTTTGGTGTAAGGTTTGATATTGCATATATTCGTAATTAAAATTTCTCTTTGTTAACATTCTATGGAATATAGAATATAAAAATATTTTTATTTTCATAATCGCTGTTCATTTTGGAGAATTGAATAATTCTCTTCATAGTTTTTTTTTGCTACCATTTTCTTACACTTACTTGGAGTGGCTTTATTTTTTGTGATCATGTAACTTGTCCTAGAAACTTTTAAATTATCTGCAGATTTTCTACATTTCATAGTAATTTTGCTCATAAATATTTTTGTTTCTCTAAGCCCTGTGAGGACATATATTTATGTTGACTGTTTCCCTTTCCTAGTATCTAAGAAACACACACACAGATAGGACATTTTCTTAGCTTAGAACATTAATCTCTAAAAGGTAGAGCTCAATCTTGGTACTATGGCTGGTTTTTTTATATGAGAATTTAGTCAGTGACATGTACTTTTTGATGTGGAAGCAATCTGTACTTCTAAAGTGAAAACAGAGATAATTCTTTTCTCCAGGCACCAGCTGCATTTGGGCTGGTTTCCTTCTTGATGCATGCTGGCCTAGAGCGGAACCGAATCAGAAAACATTTGCTGGTCTTTGCACTGGCAGCACCAGTTATGTCTATGGTGACATACTTAGGACTAAGTAAGGTAAGTCTGACTCATTTCTAGACTATCTAGACAAGCATCTAATTCTTTTGTGATCTGCTAGAACTTATAGTCCCTTATGTTGAATTTTTCAACTAAATTACCCTCTTAAACTAAAGATAAAATTAGGAGTAAAACCTGGACAAGATATGCGTGTGTGTTAGGTGTTGCTGAGTTGGTTCTGACTCGTAACGACCCTATGTATAGCAGAACGAAGCACTGCCCAGTACTGTGCCATCCTCAAAATTGTTGCTATGTTTAAGCCCATTGTTGCAAGATAAATGTTTTAATTCCAGGCCAGTCTTCTTCATAAATTTAGCATTTCCTTATTCATTTAATTCAAAAACTTCTTCCCCATTTGTTCCAAAAGCATTTGCACAAATATATGATAGTACTTTCGCAGGTATGTGATAAATCACAACAATTCATATTTTTAATGTTGAGGTAGACACAAGAAGCATGAGTGACAAGCCATGCAACAGCTTTGGGTGAAGAGGGGATGAGCAGAGATGTCTGTGTTCAGCTAAGACTTAGAATCTACTCCCAGCTCTCCTTCACCAAATATTAAATACCTAGTTCTTTATCATTGTGGTGAGCATAGCTTTAGACCTGAAGCAACATATGTGATTTAGCAGCTCAGAGCCTGGAACGCTTCCATGTTGTTTAACTGGCTCTTTCTATGCCTTATAATTCTATCTACCAGGGCTGCAGTTCTTAGCAACAACCGTCCCCACTTTACTTACATGTCAACTAGCAGGCAACAGGAGGAAAATCTTAGAACCGAATTATGTGACTCAGGGCTAGTTTATGGGAACTGCTTTCCCCTGTGCTCTGAAAGTTGTTGAGTCTTCTTAGTGTCAGTATTCGATATAGTAAAACGTGTATTAAAAGGAATATATGAGAAACGAGGTGGTTAATGAATGGTTAAGTTCCTGTAAGTCAAGGGTTTGCTGATCTCGGTTGCTAACAAATAAGTTGTTATAAAATCCCTTTCTGTTCACTCGAAGAGCCTTATCTTCTTTCATTCAACAAGCAATATATAGTTCCTTTTAAAATGTTAACAGTTTATCACTTTATGGCTCAACATAAGTTTTAAAAAAAATTGACAGAAAGGTACTGATACTTCTGGAGGCGTGGAGTTACGTATTGTATTTATAGCATGTTCTTTTCTTGTGGCTTTAATTAATCATCTTAGTCCAGAGGTCTCCTTGTATAAAGATTAAATTATGAGATGTTCCTAAGTCCTGTGAGGGCGGGTACTGCATCTTTATTACCACTGTATCCCAAGCACCTAGCCTAGTGCCTGGCCATAGAGGCACTAATAGAGGGCACTAGTAGTATTTAATATTGTTAAATATAAGTAGAGTAAATAAATGAATATCTTCATTAATATATTGTTGATTCCATCTTAAGAATTAAAAAAAAGAAAAACCCATTGCTGTCAAGTCGATTCTAACTCAAAGCGACCCTATAGGCTAAATGTGTTCAACCAGGACTTGAAGTTTGTTTGGAAACGCCATTGTGTACATCACTGATATTCTTATACCCTCTATAAATGACGTAAAATTGCTCTGATCTCAAGATGTCCCCAGTGTCCCAGACATCACCAGTTATAAATATCGAGGGTTTCTTACTGGGACTTCTTCCTGACACTGAATTTCACTTGACTTAATTTTCCTTCTCTCTCTTAATTCACAGAGCAGTAAAGAAGCCCTTTCAGAGGTCAATGCCACTGGAGTGGCCATGCTTTTCTCTGCCGGGACATTTCTTTATGTTGCCACAGTACATGTCCTTCCTGAGGTGGGCGGAATAGGGCACAGCCACAAACCTGACACCACTGGAGGGAGAGGCCTCAGCCGTTTGGAGGTGGCAGCCCTGGTTCTGGGTTGCCTCATCCCACTCATCCTGTCGGTAGGACACCAGCATTAAGTGTTCAGGTTCCAGCCTCTGTTCATGGCCCTTTGCCATCCAGTGAGAAACCGCCGGCACATGACAGCTACTCACTTCCTCAGTCTCGTGTCTCACCTTGCCCATCTCCACCTGTATTCCTAGAGTCCGGAGGGAGGTGAGATTAAAACCTGGAATAACAGAAAAGCTTTTAGAGTAGAAACAACACATTGCGATTGGATATAGACATTCCCTTGTGTTGTCTTTTAAAGGGCCTTGGCATTTTGAGTTTTTAACCCTATTCTCAGGGAAGATGGAATTTAGTTTTAAGGAAAAGTGGAGAACTTCATACTCACAATGAAATAGTAATTATAACAGTACAGTGTTCTGTAATTAAGCTAAATCTCTTTCTTCGTAGTTTAGAGGCTCTGCCACTTCATCCATTGATTGTCAACATGGTTCTCACTGTGTCAGACTGGTGCTTTTAGCATCTATGCCACACACCTTGATAGAAGGTCATAGCGCCCACTGTCCTAGACGCTAAAGGTGATTGCATTTCATTTGGGGCTAGAGTCAAGACGATGATAGCCAGACACATTGGGATGGCTGACTTTATTCTCAAGATAGAGATCCACCAGAGGCGAGGTTTAGAGAGACCAACACCTCCCTTTGCACAGGCCTTTCTGAAGTAGAGCCTGCCATTCCATCCAGTGAAGCGACAGAGGTAGGGCTGACTGCTAAAGAGATGACTAGTATTTTGTAGCATTTCTTTTCAACACATTCTTATTGAGGAGCCAGGTTCTAGTAGGTTCGGGCTTCGACTTTCCTTCAAGAGCAGTCAGTTTCACAAAGTATCTTTGGAAATTAAGGGGTATTAAATTTTAAGTGAATTGGGATAATTACTGACATCTTTGTAGTCACCTTTTTAAAAGTAAGGCTATGAAAACCTATGTTGTACTTTTTTTTTTTAAGTATTTACTCTTAGCAGATCAACAGTCCCTCTGGTAAAATACTTCGTGCAGCTTGGGGAGTGTTAGGTCTGTTTCATATAGCATCTTTAGCAATGAAGAAAGGATGTATCATAAATGGGAAGTGTTGCCTATTGATTTAAAGCTTATTGAAATCATGTCTCTTGTCTGTTCATCTTTTCCATGCTTTTCTCCTAACTTTTCCCTCCAGCCCCTCCTCCCCACAATTTGCTGCTTACTGCTGGTGGCGATGTTAATATTTCTGTGAGTTGAGTTCTCATCAGGACAACCACTTCTTGAACTGTGATGATGAAGATAATATTGTCTCTATTCTTTATTCCCTTCAAAAAAGTTACCTTTATGTCAAATGCAGCTTTGTTAACCCCTTAAAATGTCACCTCCTCGTGTGTGAATTGACACACTCATTGATATTCTGGTGATTTAAACAATTGAGATAGCAAAAGTGTTTAACAAACGAGGGTAATTTTTCCATAGTTGCCAAAATCCCTGTAAATCCTGTTCTGTCATATAAGTGTATAATATTGTATTATTAATTTATTTTGGCTTTCTATACCATTTCAAAACACAACATTATGTAAAGGGGGAACCAAGGATATCTTCTTCAGGGCAGTGGATTTAGGAGTTCGTAAAACGTTTTATATGACGCATAAGCCAGTGTGCTTATGATTTCTTTATTTCCTTCCTAGATTTGTCACTGGGCCAGCAGCTATTTGAAGTAGAACTTGTGAGCCCTCTGCTGGCTACAGACCAAAGTAGCATAAATAGGATACGGTTTTGTATAGCGGCTGACATCCATTGCATACAGTTTTAAAACCGACAGAAGGTACAGCATGGAAAGTCTAAGTAACTTTCCTGATTAAGTGATAACAGCTGACTTAAACCAGAATCATGGGGTTTCATCTGGTCCTTCAGAATTACTTGGTTGCCTTGATTCTCCCTGGAAACTTAATAAATACATAGCACTTTTTAGTGCCTGGTTTAGTTTGGATGGTAGCACTTTCTACCATATCTTTCTGTGCAGTGGTCAGAAATTTGTACTGCTGACCAAAGCCTCTTGCAGCAGTGCCTTGCCATCACACTTACACGTTTAGCTAGAATATCCTGCAGGGGAGGGCCTTGAACTCTGGCAAAGATTGAACCATCTAACTCCAGATTTGCCTTCCCCTCTGGACCTCACCACCAACAAGCAAACCTTTCAAGACCTATCAGTTCTTAGGAGCTATGGGCATTCCCAGATTTTAAAGCTGCTCCCTCAAGAGCTCCTCGGTTCTTTCCTGGTCAGCAGGCAGAAATAGCCATATTAATCTTATAGGGCTCAAATGCATCTTCAGGCAGCAAGGAACCAGGCAGTGGGGCAGAGCAAACTCCAGTGGAGGAAGGCTTTGCCACCATGGTGGGCAGTGTCCCAGGAGAGGCCATACTGAGGCCCACTTATTGGCACATCTCAGTTCCGTTTTCCTCTTATTTAAAACTGCCTCCTTTGTTGTGGATGCCTTAATGCTGTAACACATTTGAAAACATTGGCAGTGCTGCCATGAGTACAAATGGAATTATTGGCTACCAAAGAGATGCAGCTGATGAAAAGCATGGTTCTTCCTTCCTCATAGTCAAAGTTAATCTTAATTGCAGTTTGACTTTCTTTCCTTCTTAGGGATAGACTTTCTTCAGATTCCAAGTACTCTCTTACATGACAAATTAAGTTGAAAAATACTATTGATCCATTTCCCCTCACATATTCATATTCTCCAGTTAATTGCTTATCACCTCCCATTTCACCAAAGCAGTGATGCTACAGGTTTGGTTTGCTTTTCCTGTGCATGCTGTTGCCAAGTTTCTTTTTTCATGCAAAGGGTTCGGCAGTGGGAGGTGGAGAGTTGGAAATGGTACTACCTTCAAAGGCTATGTGTTTTCCCTCCCCCTTCGCCTTTTTATTTCCCAATTCAAAACAGCTGAGTTAGCCTTGTTCCTGTATTTTCAATCATTAGAAAAAAACAGAGGTAGTCATTATTGGTTCTTTGTAGAAAGGAGAAAAATGTAATTATGTTTTTTCACCAGCCTCATTCTAAGTATCACTGCCTGGGGTTTTTTTTTTTTTTTCTTTCTCGTGGATTAGAACTAGGAGGACACACCAGCATCAGAGTGTATTAAGCCCCTAAAACACATGGTAGCCAGGTACTTAACACAAGGCACAAGCCCCCAAAGAAGGTTCCTGCTCTTCGAATCCCCGAGCCCTTTGGGAGACTGAGAGTAATTTCTAGAGTTATCCAAATCTGCTGCAGTGCAGGGTGAGAACCCTCTGTAGCCGTTCCACAAGGGAACCTTCCTTGCATCAGAAAATTCTGCTTAATACAGAATGGTCCACATTGCTCAAAGAGCAACTATTAGAGATGCTATGAAATGAAAACCTTTGTTCCTGAGATATCTAGATTTACCTCAGGAGACCATTTAGAAAGTTGTGACTTGTGGGAAAGGACTAGACAACCATTTAGGAGACTGGCCTGGATTCTTTCTCCATTGGTGTCTTCCAGCAGCTTGGAAGTCTTATGGGCTAACTCCAGTTCCCCTGGTTCAGTAGCCTGAACAGTGGTTTTAAATGCCTCTTTTTCTGGATCCTTTGTAAACATATAATCATTCCATGGATGGCTGCCTTATAATTTTGTCTCTTTCCACTTTAATTGTGAACGGTTAAAAAAATTTTTGCTGTTTTTGATTTATTATATTAAATTTTTATTAGTGCATACCTTATGTGAGTGGCTCGTTATTTATCTTCTTGGAAGTTTTTTTTTTTTTCTCTAGTATGACAACCAGACTTGACCCACATTTGAACATCAGGAAAGATAATGAAAAGCTGTGAAGGGCAGTGGAAGGATGCACCTACTATATGCACATCCTTTAGGGAAGGAGGGAAGAGAAATGAAGGATTCGATATACCATCAGCCCCAAAAGACACATTTATTGATAATTTTTTTGCTTTGCCATTGTTGTTAGCGAATATTATATATGAAGAACCTTTCTACTCTCAGAAAAGAGAAGCAGGCAACGGATCCCAGTAACACTGGATTCATTTCAGAGGGCCAAAGTTGCTATATGAGTACATAAGTGTTGTGGACAGTTGACCTGGAGTGCAGTGTGTGGATTTGATAAATGTGTTCCCCCTCTGTGGACTTTAGTACAAGAGCTCATTTTTAAGTTATATACAATAAGTGCTATACGCAGCCTATCATTTAAATGTATAGTTTGTATGTTTAAGCATTAGATTTTATTAATTATTACTGGTCCACTTTATGCTGGATGTATGTGTATCACATGTGTCTCATCAGCTAGTTATAATGATTGTGTCCGGAGTGTTACATGTTTCCTGGAAACTTCCTCATGAAGAAGAAAATAGGCAAAAAGGACATGGTATGTATGGTTCCTGCCATCGCCACAGAAGCCCGAAGGTGAAGTGCCAGCGTCCCTCTTCTGCCTTGAGCAGTGGTCTTTGAAATCTGAGGAAGTCAGCATTGCCTCTTCCTGCTGCCCTGAGCGGGTAGGGTGTGTGTGTGTATTTAGCCAAAAGAGCTAAGAAGTTCAGTCATTTTTCTGTTTTGTTTTGTTTTGAATCCTTATAAACTGGAGCTAGACTTTTAAAATTGTAACCTCCCTCATCCCTACCACAATTCTCCTTACGCTGTTCTTTTCCTTTTTCCCTAGCCCTGACCACCTTTTAATATGCTGTATATGGATGCCTTTACTTTGTCCGTTCCCCCACTAGAGTATAAACACCAGGAAGGTAGGTTCTGAGTAAATCTTTGTCATTGAACGAATTGGTCTGAACTGAGGGTGCCCTTTTTTGTTTTCCTAATTTACAATACCCCGCACCCCCACCCAGCTGTGCCCTGACCCCTGTGCAGAACCAGTGCCTGGTCTTATATGCAGCTCTGCCCTTGTGTCACACTGGGGTGAGGGCGGCTTGGGGGTTACCAGTGAAGTTGGGAGCCATAAAGGGCATGGGACTGAGCGTACAGGTGGGAAATTAACTGGGTTCATGTTACTAATCCAGTGCTAACTAACGTCTCTAAGCTACCATATGACTGATTTAGGGATCTGAAAGCCTGGATCCCATTTCTGGCTCAGCTACTGATTTCTGTTGCAATGTTAGCCATTTTCTGATTTGGGGTGGCAATGTAAGTGAGAGCATGTGCCCTACTCTGGTAGCCACACTTACAGAGGAACCCTGACAAATCCGAGAGCCATCAGCAGAGGGAGCCCAGGGGAGAGAGGATGGATGGGTAGCCAGGGCATTTGAGGAGGCATGGAAGGAACTGGATTGTTTCCCTATGTCTGGAAGGTTCTTGGGGGGCAGAACTTGGTATTCATCTTCAGATACTTCAGGGCTGTCAGGTCCAGGAGGTCATAGACTTATCCTATCTGCTGCAGAGGCTGGAACCACACAGCAGTAGCCTGAGCCTGCCTCGTCGCCTCCACTTCATTTGAGTCTTTATCCAGCAGCCTGAAGTGGCCCAGTTGCTCCTAGGTACTGATGTACAAAACGCATGAGACTTAGTTGCAGCCCTTAAAGAGCTTGCAGTTCAATGAGGGATTTGAACAAGAAAATGGACAATTACCAACAGTGGGACAGGCACTAGGAGACAAGCATGGGGTGCTAAGAGAATACATGGGGGCAAGAACCCAGTGTGGGGGTTTCAAGGAGAACATCCAGAGGGAGATGAGCCCTGAGCTGAATTCAAAGGCTGAGCAGAATGAGCTAGGTGAAGAAGTTGGGGAAAGGTGTTCTGAGCCAAGACCTACATGGGCAAAGGCCTGGTAGCACCCAGGAATATGGGGTTGGCATAGAAGGTACCACTTTGGCTGAAGGAACAGGTATAAGGAGAGGGGAGGCAAGAGCTGGCTGTGCAAGAGATGTTGGCTTTCTAGATGACCTCTAAGCTTCTTCTAGATTTAAAATTCTACAGGTAATTGGGCCGAACCAGAGTCTTTGTAACTCCTGCCTCAACTCCACAACCTAGGTCCCTTCCTGGGTGGAGTCCTGGCTGGCCTCTGAGTTCCTGTCACCACAGGGATGACTCACGGAGGTGGGAGTGAGGTGCCAGATC